GGGGAGTAGGGCACTGTGGCCATTCCTTCCTGGAACTTCCCTCAGGAGGAAAGAGAACCTTTTTTTCCGGGGCTGCTGGATGAGAGAGACAGAGGGATAATGGGTCTAGGTCCCTTGGCCCTAGTCTTGTCCAGGGTCTGAATTCTGTGCCATTTTGAGTCAGAAGTCTGAGTCTGTATTGGATACCCCTGTGCTCAGTGACTGCCTTGGGCCCACAGACTCAAGGACCATTTCCTATCTGCTGCCAATTAGATCCTCCTGTCTTCTTGGCATTAATTACTGAACCACATCCCCAGCCTTTTTTTTTTTTTAATATATATATGTTTTATTTAGAGACAGGTTCTTGCTAAGTTATTTAGGGCCTTGCTAAGTTGCTGAGGCTGGCTTTGAACTCATAATCCTCCTGCCTCAGCCTCCTGAGCCACTGGGATTACAGGCATGTGCCACTGCAGGGGACCTCCCCTTACTTTTTAAACTCCCTGGGAACAAGGGTACAGAGCTGGGACCTCTAAGGCCATCTGCTGGCTAGTCTGACCTTGGGATGCCACCTCCCCTGGTCTATCTTCCAGGCAACTCCTGTGTTCCCCTGAACACACTATCTTTCCATTACTGTGCTTATGAATTCTGTGATCCTCAAGTTCCATCCCCAGCACAGGGACACCCGACCTGGGTGGGAAGGCTTTGCCACCTTGCCATCTGGCACCTTCCCTAAGCCTGGTCAAACACAGTGGGTCTCCATTCCAGGGCAGGGTTAGTCACATGGGTGTCCTAGAACAGCCAAAGTCTGCCTCTCTCTCATTGCCTACACACCAGCCTAGGGCTCTCCTCTCTGGACCCATCCCCTAGGATGGGACCCCACTTCCTTCTGTAGGGGATCAGAAGAGGTCAGGTGGGGACAGGACCGGGAAGTCCGGGGTCTTTGTGAAGGGAGCACAGGCAGTTCAGAGACATTGCAGGAACCTTCCCATCCTCCCGGCCCTTCTTCCCCTCCCTCCACCCCCTGCCTCCTCCAGCTGTGTTAACAGGCTGCCTTTACAAGCCCACTTTATGGATGGAAACCCCAGTGGACTTTCCCTCTACCCTCAAAACGTTTCTACAAGGAAACCTATTAAGCCCTTGCCTTCATGCTGTGCCAAAAAAGACCACATTTTTCACACCACCTAAAGCCCTCTCCCAGGAGTTTTCTGCTGATTTCTGTGTTTTACCAGGAGCAGGGCTCTCCTCCTCCTCTCCAGTGTGACTAGAACCTGCCCCCACCTACTGCCAGATAGGACCCTCTTATGTGTACACATGGGACATCCTGCCTTGAGGTTAGAAGTCCTTTCTGCTACCTGCCACCCAAATTCACTGAACTTATCACTGCCCACCCACAGGACCCAACCTTATAGGCTCCCTTATATGTATAAAGTGCTTTTACCATGGGGCTTCATTTATTCCTCACTACAACCCTTTGCATGGAGATATTATTCCCTATTTTATAGAGAAAGAAAAAATCTCAGAGAGGTTAAGTAAAACACCCAGAGTCACACAGCTAATAACTGAAGGAAGCAAGTTTGAATCAGATCTTCCTGCTTCCCAGGAAGAGAAACACAGGGTTCCTCTGGGGGAACTGATTGGAAACTAAAATATCCCCACTGACTCTTTCCCTCCATCCATTCTTCTCTCTCCTGTCCCAAGTGAAAGTGTCTGTTTCACTTCTCTCCAGATTTTCTTTTCTTGTGTCCCCATCCCTGATCTAAGATATGATTCTGCGCTGCACCCAGTCTCTTGATGCCTTTGGGTGATATTGAGACCCGGCCTCCAGCGGGTACCCATTTCCCTCCCATAGCCTTTCTACTTTTGCTTCCATATTCTGAGGACTCTGTCCCTCCCTGATTCTGGGTTCCTCAATCTATGCTCTCCCTACCCTTGGAATCAGGATAGGTGCTCCTGGATTCAAACTGGCACAGAGTTCTCCACCCAGCTCCACCCCTACCCCCACACAAGGAGGCAAGTATCCTGGCACACCCCACCTCCTCTTATTCTGAAGCTCACATCCATTTGTTAAGTGAGCGTTAGTCAAGAGTGAGTTTGGAAACCTCCCTTTACGCCAGCTAAAAGGGTGGAGGACCGTATAGGCAAGTCCTTCTTGCTTTTTAACTCCAATCCCTCCTGCTGTATTTGAACTTTCTTGCTTAGAGTGCCATCCCCACCCTCAAGAACCAAGCCCGTGCATGGGTGGGAAATTCCACTGTCTAACCCTAGTCACTCCCAGCATGCCACACCTGAGCCCCCACCTGCGGAGAGGGATGGAAGGGCAATTGAAGCACAGGCTCCCCAGTGGAAGGCCTGTCCTGCTTGGGCTGGGTTCACAGCCTAACTCTGGCCTGCGGGGAGGGCTGGGTGGGAACCAGGCTCAGATAATGCTTTAATCATGCTGGGAAGAAGAGATACAGGGCTGAGAACTCTCTAAGATGATTTGCCAAGGAATTTACAGGCACCAGCTGGGTTACCAGGTGACTCCTCAGGGCCAGCGCTTCTGAGCCCTGGAGGATGGGGCTCCTGGCCCTTTTCCCAGTCCTTGTCACCAGCTTTCTAGGGCTAGGATCAGGGTCTCTAGGGAAGAGGGTGGGAATCGATAAAGGGAAGAACTCAGAACTAGAGAGTTAAGCACCTGGCCAGCGATGGAGAGGGAGGGACTCCAGATCCTGCATCCCAAGTGCCCAAAGAGCAGATGACTAAGTTTAGTATCCATTGCTTCCCTTCCGGTTCCCCCGACCCTCAGGTGTGACGTTCTCCGACGTGGCGAGTGCCACCGAGCCGTGCAAGCCGTGCACGGAGTGCGTGGGCCTGCAGAGCATGTTGGCGCCGTGCGTGGAGGCCGACGACGCCGTGTGCCGCTGCGCCTATGGCTACTACCAGGACGAGATCACCGGCCTCTGCGAGGCGTGCAGCGTTTGCGAGGCGGGCTCGGGCCTCGTGTTCTCCTGCCAGGGCAAGCAGAACACCGTGTGCGAGGAGTGCCCTGATGGCACGTACTCCGACGAGGCCAACCACGTGGACCCGTGCCTGCCCTGCACCGTGTGCGAGGACACCGAGCGCCAGGTCCGCGAGTGCACGCGCTGGGCAGACGCCGAGTGCGAGGGTGAGCGCAGGTCGCGAGTGGTGCTGGGGGAGTCTCGAGAAGGGCGCCCTCTGGAGGTCGCGAGGGGCCCCGCCTGGTCTTCTAGGGCAGGCTTGTGACCTCCAGCCAACAGGCACCCTCCCCAGCCTCAGTCCCTCCTGTGACCTGAGGGAGGAGGTGATTCCGATCCTATCTCACCGCAGAACCCCTTTCACTATTTTCTTCTTTGGGCACAGTGTTGGGAAAGCCAGCATTCTCATCTTCTAGGGCGCAGTTACTACATTGTAACTCGTGTTCTGGGACCTCATTCATCTGTGGCTGCCGGCCAGTAATTGGATGGGCAGCAGACAGTGGCTGGAAGGGGGCCACCGCCTTCAGAGTCCAAAACAGGGCATGTTCCACGCTGAGGCAGGCTTTCTGAACTGGAAACTGGAGTTGGGACCCTTTGGCTGTGAGTCCTGGGCTAGGTCCATGGTGGCTTTTGGCTCTGGGACCTGGGATAGAATTCACCCTGACACCTCAGGGAGGTCACTCCTGTCTCTGGACCTCAGTCTTCTCACTGGCCTATGGTTGCCAGGGTCACTGAAGGTTAGGGAACACTTGGTGAGGGTGGCCCACTTCATCTTATTGTGTCCGGGGGCACCCAACAGTCCCTGTGGCGGTTTTCTGAAGGTTGAGATTGAATACAGAGAATAATAAGATCATGGAGGAAGGAGTTCTGTGGCAGAAAAAAGGGTTCTGAGGCAGGCATGGGGTGTGGAAGTCTGTGGACAAGGTAGGGTACAAACAGAGGGGAGCTGGGTGTGCCCGCCTTGGCCAGGTCTGGGGCCTTAAGGAGATAGGAGGAGGAAGCACCCTGGGAATCAGGGCAGAACTGTTTTGTTGGTAACGTTCACCGCAGGGGGAGATGGGAGGCTTTTCCATTGCCAAGAGAGATTGGCAGTGCCTTTACATTGTTTCCATCATCCTGTGGCCACGCACCCATTAAGCTGCTTCCCCTAGAGAGCTAACCTCAGGTTGCCCTCACTCTGAGCAGCAACACAGTGTCTCCTCCAGCTGGATGGGAGAGAGCTAGCTGGGGCTCCCATCCATTGGATGAGGCAGGCAGGGGCCCAGCACCAAGTTCCCAGCTGGGGCAGAGGAGAGTCCCAACTTCAGAATTCCCAGTCAGATGGGAGCTGGGCACCCTGGCCCCAGGGAGACTCCATTCTGACCAGGACTCGGACATACCCAGTACTCTGGGAGGACTGCCGGAGATTCGTGAGCTCCCCAGGGAGGAGGGTGGAGAAGGACCTCAGTCTTCTCACTGAGCGGTTAAAATGGGAAGAGGCAGGGAATGTGTTTGCAGCTTTCTTCATGAGGGAGGCAGGTGAAGGAGGATTGGGGTGGAGACCCCAGGGTGGTTCTGGTGGAGACTGCCAGGGGTCAGGAGACAGGCAGCTGGCAGCTGGCTCCAGGCAGAGCAGGGAGCGTTTCTGCAGCCAGGCAGCAGGCCACTGGGCAGCACAGTTCCATGGGCAAGTCTGGGCTAGCAGCGGGGATAGTCCAGGGTGCGGTTAGAGCCAAGAAAGGTGACAGTGGGAGGAGGAGTGAGCTCTGCCTTTTGGGGCATTCACAGCGTCCTCCCAGATGCCATCTGGCTTGCCCAGCCTTGAAGGGAGTGGGTACCCCTGAGGGGTGTATTTACCCCTGTCCTGGCCCCCTTTCAGCTCCGGCCTCTGCAGGGTTAAATGTTAACTCCAGGGCAGAGGGTCCATTTCAGGAAATGGAACTTGATTCTCGGCTGGGTTACCCCCTCCCCTCCAGTACACCACGCTTTCCTGCCTAGACATTTCAGGTATCAACAAGGTGACTCACCCACCCTCAGGGCAGAAGTCTCCCTGTGAAGTTTAGGAAGAGGTAACCTGGTCCCTCCTTCCACCCCCAAGTCTGATAGCTTCAATTCCGGAAATGGCTGTCAGGACCTGCCAAGGGCTCTGTGGGTTAGAATGCTAGTGGACTGGCCACATCTGGATCTCATCCCCCACCCCCATCATGAGGGACCCCAGAGGTGAGGGGAAAGGCCCCAGGCATTCAGCTCTGTCTTTAGCCTGGCCTGCCCCTTGACTGCCCCCTCCCCGCTACTCTTGTCTCTGTAAGGGCCTGGTTCACCCCCCAGCCCCACCCATGCCCCTTCAGCCTCTGGGTCCCGGGTATCCATCCGAGCTGAGCTAGATCTGCAGCCTCTGGGTTCCAGCTGCCACCCAGTCTGCCCAGTCCCTTAACAGGTTATGAGAAGACCCTCCCCAGTCTAGTACCCTGTCTGGGGCTCCCAGAAGAGGGGCTGTGTCTTCTCCACTTCCCACCCCTCCTCCCTCCACCCACTCCCAGGACTGGGTGGGGGAGGGGTGGGGTGGAGCAGCAGATGGCAACCCTGTCCCCACTGCCAGTCAAATGGATCCCAAACTCACATCTGGAGGCCTTACCCCCGAGAAGGTGCTGAAAATGAGGACCTTTGAAGCATCTTGGTCTTGAGCCTAGGAGGCCTAGAAGACTGGCGGACAGCTTAGACTCCAACTTGGGTGGGCACACTGGGGGCTGGGAGGGGCTGAGCTGGGAAGCAGGTGCCCTCGCTTTCACCCTGTTGGCATGCCCTGTCTGTTTTTGTTCCCTGCCCCAGGCGTGGGAAGTGAGGATGGATGGGGTAGGTACCTTCGCCCAGACAAGTACCCCCAGGCCATTCAGAGCTACAACCCCTAGCACGGCCCCTGGATGGGGGGTAGAATGGAAAGTCCCACCCACTGTTGCCAGGAGGTGCCAAGGCCCCTGCCAGGGAGGCTGGCAATACCTAGTTGGCATGAGAAGGCCTAAGTGGGTGGCTGGGCACAGTCTCTCTCCCCTAGAGCAGTGGACAGTACCTGCCTTGCAGGCCTCGATCTACCAGCGCCTGCTTCCTGCCAAGGAGGGTCCTGGCTATCTGACACAGTCTTCCCTGGGTGGCAGGGCCAGGTGGTATGGGAACAGGGCAGGAATCAGGCTACTCACTGACAAAGGGCTGCTAGGAGGGAAGCAAGCCAGCTGCACTCCACCCCCAGTCCAGGCCTGAGAGACAGGAAGCTGAGCGTGCCCCTCTGGGACGTGCAACTCTCTGACCAGGCCTGAGTGCCCTTGTCCCTCCTTAGGGCTGTGGTCATCTAGACACTCTGGGGCCGGCTTGAGGTTTCCCTATGGCTCAGGCATCTTTGCATGTTTGCCCCACACCAGGCTACAGGGTGCTCAGGAGGGGCAGAATAGAGGTCTAGGTCCACCGCCCAAGATGGAAGGGAGCTTAGAGACCATTCCTAATAATAGTCCCATACTCTAGATGGGGAAATTGAGGTCCCACCAGGGACAGAGCTGATAGGGATCCCGGTCTCCTGGCTTGTAGCTCTCGCTGTCCTCCACCAGCATGACATCATGCACAACTCCCAGCTCCCAATCTGGAGCACAACAGCTTGGTGCCCGAGCACCCAGAACCTGGGGGTGAGACCTCAGGAAGAAGCAATGGAGTGGGCCAGACCTGAGGGGAAGGGTCTGGAGGGGAGAGGGCCTTCATCCTGCGCCCTTTTCCTCTAGAGATCCCTGGTCGTTGGATTACACGGTCCCCGCCCCCGGAGGGCTCAGACAGCATGGCCCCCAGCACCCAGGAGCCCGAGGTCCCTCCAGAACAAGACATCATAGCCAGCACGGTGGCAGATGTGGCGACCACAGTGATGGGCAGCTCTCAGCCCGTGTTGACCCGAGGCACCACTGACAAGCTCATCCCTGTCTACTGCTCCATCCTAGCTGCTGTGGTTGTGGGTCTCGTGGCCTATATTGCCTTCAAGAGGTAAGAGGGGCACCAAGGGGACAGAAAGCAAGGACATTTGTCCTCAAGGAGGGCTTTTCCCTTTCCTTGACCTGAAAACACACACCCTTTTGAGGGTGGGTAACTGAGGATTGAACTCAGGTGTGCTCAACCATTGAGCCACATCCCCAGGGTTTTTTTTTTTTTTTTTTTTGAGACAGGGTCTTGCTAAGTTGTTTAAGGCCTTGCTAAGATGCTGAGGCTGGCCTCAAACTTATGATCCTCCTTTCTCAGCCTCCCAAATCGCTGGGATTACAGGCATGCACCATGGTGCTGGCACGTGAACCCTTTTGGCTCAACCCCAAAGCAGGCTCACCCTTACTCACCCACCACTGTCCCACTACGGGACATGGTAGGTCAGGAGGGTGAGGAAAAAATATGCCCTGTGTTGTCCTGGCTCCAACCACCCCCACCTCACTCCCAAGCTGTTCCCTTCCTTCCCTGACTCCCCTCAACTCCAACTGCTTGTGTCCTTATTTCTCAATCCCGCTCACCCCAAAGCTACCTGGGTATGCCTGTGTGTGTCTCTTCCCTTTCTTATGTCACCCTTGGGCTCCTATGGCCCATATCCAGGAACCTAGGATGAACAAGGACTCCTGGAAAGCATTAAATATATTTTCCATTTTTAAAAAATGTTGTTTTGTAGTTGTAAATAGACGGAATGCCTTTATTTTATTTGTTAATTTTTACGTGGTGCTGAGGATCAAACCCTGATTCCTGATTCCTGCCCCATGCATACTAGGCAAGCGCTTTGCCACTGAGCTACAACCCCAGCCCTATTTTCCATTTTTTCAGGTTTGTTTACAAAACTGCAAAAAAGACCAATATCTTTTTTTTTCCCTCATGGAACTGGAGTTGGAACCCAGGACCTCCCTCATGCTCAGCAAGCTTTTCCCCACTGGGCTCCGTCCCAACCCCAACCCCCACCCCCAGACCAGTATGTTCTAAAACAAAGAGTAACCCCCGCCTCCATTATCTCCCCCAATCTTACTCCTCTCTTCGCTGGAATCTGTTTGGAATGTACCCTTCCCAACCATTTTCTGTGCATTTTGTTTATATAAATATATATATAAAAACTTCTTAAAATTGCATGTAAACACATAGGGTTTTTGATTAAAAAAAAAAAAAAGCCCCAGGGGATCACACTATTCATAGTCTATGAGGTACTTTTTCACTCCGTCCTCCTCAGGAGAACTTTCCTTGGGACATAGATTATCTGGACATTTGGAACCACACATCCGATAATCTGGATGGACATTGTTTAGTCATTTTCCTCCTGATGGACATTGGGTTTGTTTTCGGGTTTTTGTTATTGCTTATAAGTGCAGAGGAGATCCTTGGACATATCATTGCTCACATGTGGGAGTATTTTAGAAGGGTAGATTGGGAAAAGTGGAATTTCTGGAAAGTTGTTTATGAGCCCCATGGATTCCTGAATGTTTGTTGCCCACTTGCAAAATGTCCCCTACCCATACGGAGCTTTTCCTGTGTGCAGGGGGTATAGATATGTAAGGCAACAAGACACTGTGGGGACCTTCCATGCCCCCCAGGCCCCTCCCCACACATCAGGGTACCTTGGCTGCACTGGCTAGTCCAGCCACTCACTCTGAGACCTGGCCTGTTCCCCCTGGCCTGTTCCCTGGCTCCAGGTGGAACAGCTGTAAGCAGAATAAGCAGGGTGCTAACAGCCGGCCTGTGAACCAGACGCCCCCACCTGAAGGAGAAAAACTCCACAGTGACAGTGGCATCTCTGTGGACAGCCAGAGCCTGCATGACCAGCAGCCCCACACGCAGACGGCCTCAGGCCCTGGTAAGTGTCAGGGCAGGGCAGGCGCAACTGAGGCAGGACACCGGGCATGATGGAGATTAGCTATAGGAGGGGCTGGCTAAACTGCTAAACTGCCTTTGTAGAAGGCTGGGAGAGGCTGGGAGAGGGGAATGGGAAAGAGAGGTCTTTTCCAACGGGGCATCTTGGGAAATGGAGGCTTTTACTAGCTGAACATTCAGACTCATCAAGCTAATTGTCCCCCCTGGGGGCTAATTACTGCCCAAAGTAGCTGCAATTAGCCTCCTGCCCTGGACTTCTGGGGAACAAGTGGTTAAGTATGTACCCTAATTAGTGGCCCACAGCTGGACTCCAGGACACTCGCTGCAGTTGTCTGGAGCTGAGGAGCCCCGTCTCCTGCTCTGCCTTGGGCTCTACTTTGGTTAATTGCGGGGTGGGGGGGTGTAGGGGGCAGGGGAGCTATGGGTGAGGGAGGGACGGTGAGTCAGCATCCCCCAGCCCCCACCTGGTCCTGCCTCCTTCAACGAACTCATCTTGGCCATCCCTCTGCCTCTTGCCCCAGATTGTGGTGAGAATGTCTTGGGCCCACTGGGGCGGGGGCGGGGGCAGGACCTGACTTCTCTGGGTTCTTGGCAGCACTCAAGGGTGATGGAGGCCTCTACAGCAGCCTGCCCCCAGCCAAAAGGGAGGAGGTGGAGAAGCTGCTCAACGGCTCTGCTGGGGACACCTGGAGGCACCTGGCAGGCCAGCTGGGCTACCAGCCTGAGCACATAGACTCCTTCACCCACGAGGCCTGCCCTGTCCGTGCCCTGCTTGCCAGCTGGGCCGCCCAGGACAGCGCGACGCTCGATGCCCTCTTGGATGCCCTGCACCGCATCGAGCGACCCGACATTGCGGAGAGCCTGTGCAGCGAGTCCACGGCCACGTCCCCTGTGTGAGCCCACCAGGGAGTCCCTGCCCTGCCCCCACGTTCTGAGGATGGATGCTCCAGCCAACCCCCATGGAGCCCATCCCCCCTGGGGTGGGCCAGCCTGGCAGAGCTGAGCTCCTCTGGGCAGGGCCTCGAGCCCAGGCCCCCAAACCACAGCCCTGTCGCTGCTCCTGTGTGGCCCCCTCGCTTCTGATCACATTCCCTCTCAAGCAAGAGAAGGGAGCCTCCCCACCCCTGCCTCTCGCCATCTTGGGCCTTCTCCTTCCTTCTCCCCACTGCTGGGTGGGCCAGCCCCTCCCACCTAGCAGGTGTCCTATCTGGGGGTCTGACGCCAGGGATGGTATTGGCAGTGGTGACAAGCCCCCAGAGACTCAGAAAGAGGTACTAAGGAACCAGAGCCATGGACTCTACACTGTGAACTTGGGGAACGAGGGAGCATTCTAGTGGCCTAAACCCCTCCAACCCTCCTGCTCCTCCCTTCTGGCCTAAGAGGAAGAGGATCAGAGAGTCCTGTCTGTGCTGGAAGCAGGTTTGAAAGCCAGTCCACCCCCTTCCTTTTACACATAGGCCCAGAGAGGCAGAGACTTCCCAAAGCACCCAGCAATGGTGAGGTCAAATACAGGCTGACACTATCCTCTTGAAATGAGGGACCTTAGGTTTTTCTTGAGGCTGGGTGAGGGGGATCAGGTGACCTTCAGGGAAATGTCTTGACGCCAAGTTCATTCCAGCCTCCACCATCTCCAGGCCCCTAACCCCTGTGGAGATGGATGCCTGCCCTCAGCTGGCCCACTGACATCCTGATGGAGTCAGGTCTGGGGCTGGGGAAAGGGGTTCCACCTCCCTCTTCCTGTTCCCACTCAGGCTTATCCATGGGAAGTGGCCTTAGTATATTGGTGCCCTCTGCCCTGGCACAGACCTGGAGCCAACACTGGCCCCTAGAATCAGCCCTAGGGGTCAAGGACTAAGGACCCCCCACTTCGCATTGTGAGTGTGCACAGGAGTACGCATGCGCACGCGCACATGCACACCGGGGATGGGTCATTTTGCTTTTCTCCACAAGTTTTTTCTCTCGGGCCGAGACTGAATTCTGTCAGGACCATTGCCAGAGAAGCAGGAGAGGGAGCTGAGCTCTGCTGGGGCGGTCTTCCTTCGCCCCCAGGTTTGGCGGGCCATGGACCGACCGACCGCTGAGGCTTGAGCTGGCGTCTGTCTGCCAAGGGCCTGTGCGTGGAGGAATGCACCCCATCCTCCCCTTTCCAAAGCACGGGGTTGGCTGGGCCCAGAAGCTTGCAGTGAAGAAAAGTGGGCCAGTGGGGGTTAGGATACAAGAAGGGACACAGTGGGACCGGGAGGACCCTGTGAGGGAATGTTTTCCTTAGCATAGCCAGAAAGGGACCACAAGGTCTCACTGACGTCTTACCCCCTCCCTGGCCTTTTGTGTTTTGCTTGCTGTTGGAATGAGTGCGGCTCCCCCTATATTTAGCATGAAGGAGCCCCAGGCAAGGTGTGCTCGGACCGCCACCCCTCCCTCATCCAGGGTTCTCCCAACCCTGCGTAAAGGACTAGGAGCATTGCACGTGATGGCATTTCGTCGACCTTAATCTGCGATGAGAGGAGGGACCCCACCTGCTGGCCCCTCACCTGAGCACCTGGGGAGTGGGACAGTCCGAATGTATTTATTTTCCTCCCCAGCGGCAGGGGAGGGGGTGGGGAGCCGCGAGTATGTTTTAGCATGTGTTGGTTCTGGAGCCCCTCCTGCCTCCCTTTGGGCTGGGATTAAACCCTTTTGACCCTACAGCTGGGGACTGAGCTCCAGACCCCCCCTGTCACCCTCCCTGTCACCTCCTCTTTGCATCCTGTGTAATCATTTCTTGGGCCCTCCTGAAACCTACACCTAAAACATAAGTGATGAGCATTAAATAGCAAAGAGAAAAAAATATATATAGTGCAAAGAGATTTTCTGGGAATCCCCGTGGTTTGAGTTGGTTGGGGCTGTGGGATGTCTGGGGCCCCGGGCATCATTTCTAACTCAGTGAATTCCTCTCCTACTTTTTCCTCCAAGAAATTGGGGGCGGGGGCGGGGGGGTGGCTTTATCAGGAATCCAGCAAGCTCACATATACAGCCCTGAAGCTCATTTAAGTGGGGGTGGGGAGGAGTAGAGGCCCTTCGCCCCCAGACTGTAGAGAGGGAAAGTAAAAATGGCCATACAGGAAGCTGGCCAAGCTGTGAACTTGACCAGATGTCAGAAGTGAAACTGACCACAGGAGAGCCAGGGGCTTGCTAAGAAGGCCAGGTCACAACCTCACAGCTCCCAGCCACCCACGTGGCCTGTGAGACACGCACACACAGAATCTGGCTCCAGATGGCCTGGTGGGAGGCTGGCTGGCCTGGCCTGGAGTCAGACAGGCAGGTCCCTCCCTCCTGGCTCTCCTGGGCAGGTCCTAACCCCAGGCTGCTGCCTGCCTGGCTGTGGGACCTGCCTGGCTCAGACCTGGGAGCTCCTGGGGCTATAGGGTTCCTGGTCCCAGGCCTGTGCCCCACTTGAAGCTGGCTGGGCAGGTGGTCAGAACTGCTTGGTCTCTGCTGTTGTTTGTCCAGGTCCTCTCATGGGACTGGCTGTGGTCATAGGGAAAGGCTATAGGAATCTTGTTCTTCCCAGGAAGAACAACACAGCCTTCCTGATTTCCAGATCCAAGGAGAGGGGCCAGCAAGGCCCAGCCAAGGGGTGGAGGGGAAGGCTTTTGTCTCCCACCTCAGCCACACTGAGACAGTGGTGAGGAAGACATGGGTGTGGCAGGCAGGGACTCAGAGGACCGAAGAGAAATGATCCTGGTACTTGGAAAGCCCCTGGTGTGATGGGAGTCTCTGTCTTGAGGGAGCCTCCTGTCTGATGGAGGAGGCAGTCTCAGACCTGAGGATATTTCTGATCTGATGAGAGCGGCACAACTCCTGTCCTTAGAGAGACCCACTTTCAGATGAAAGAAATACAGTCATCGCCCTGAAGGAGCCTCTTGTTTGGTAGGAATGGCCAGATGCTGACTGGTGGAGTAAAGTGATACAAACCCTGCCTGTACCTTTCCATTTTAGTGCTGAGGATTGAACCCTGGGGTGCCTCATCACTGAGCTACATCCATGTGCAGCTCTGTTTGTTATTTTTAAATTTTGAAACAGGGTCTTGGCTAAGTTGCTCAGGGCCTCGCCAAGTTGCTGAAGTTGGCCTTGAACTTGTGATCATCATCCTGCCTCAGCCTCCCCAGTTGCTGGGATTACAGGCAAGGCACTGCAGCTCAGCTTATTTATTATTTTATTTATTTTGAGATGGGGATCTTGCTATGTTGCTCAGGCTGGCCTTGAACTCCTGGGCTCAAGTAATCCTCCTGCCTTGGTCTCCCAAGTTGCTAGGCACACACCAACAAGCCCAAATTATGATTGGACATTCTTTAGGAGGATAGAGAACAGACGGGCCCTGGGTGATGTGCACTGCCATATTAGGGTGATTGGGGGTCCCGGTCCAGACCTACCCACACCCAGGGTCAGGGAAGGGACATGGAAGCTGAGCTCCTGAGGATGAGTGGGCTAACAAGCCAGGGGAAGAGAGTGTTTCTGGCTTTGGAAACAGCTGGAGCAAGAGCCCTGGAGGTGGAGGGGACAGAGCCGGCCTGGGGAGGCTCCTGTGTCTGGAGCCCAGAGAGTGAAGGGAGGGAGGGCAGCGGGCCAGATGGGCCAGGGCTTAGGAGGAGTCTGGCTGAGGGGTCTGGACTGCATTCTTTGAACACTGGGAATGACGAAGGGTTCAAGCTGTGAGCTGCTGCCCTTACATTTGCCTTTTTTTTTTTTTTTTTTTTTTTTGAGTTTTGTTTTTCACTCTTTAGTTGTTTTTTGTTTTGGTTTGGTTTTGGTTTCTGGTGCTGGGGATTGAACCCAGGGTCTCGATTCTTCCATTGAGCAATATCCCAGTCCCCAGATTTGCATTTCAGGAAACCTTTGCTGCTGCAGAGTGGAGGGGTGGGTCAAGATAGGCCAGGGAGTGGAAGTCAAGGAGCAGAGGTTTCATGTGACAGCTCCTCTGAGCTAGTGAGGGGTAGAGGGCAGGAAGTGACTGACACTGGCCCAGTGCTCTCATGGGTATGGGACAGATTCTTAAAGACATCTTACCACAGTCCCTCTTCACCCTTCCCCAACATGTAAAGAAACCCTCTTTGCCCATCTCGGCCTCACCTCCATCCCTCCTTCAGTTTCCCCTCAATAGATAAATGCTTTGTCACCTTTCCATCTTTGCTGTAGTCTTCAGGGCTGCCAACTTCCCCAGATGAACTTACTAATAAATTTAACCTTAGCACTGCCTTGCTCCAGCCATCCTCCTCACTCTCTGCTTCCCCAAACCAGCCTTCATCGTCATCTTCTTCTTCTTTGTTTTTGGTATTGGGGATTGAATTCAGGGTCACTCGAACACTGAACCCCATCCCCAGCCCTATTTTGTATTTTATTTAGAGACAGGGTCTCACTGAGTTGTTTAGTGTCTCACTTTTGCTGAGGCTGGCTTTGAACTCACACAATCCTCCTGCCTCAGCCTCCCAAGCCGCTGGGATTGCAAGCATGCGTCACTGTGCCTGGCTCAAACCAGCCTCCTCCTCCTCCTCCTCCTCCTCCTTCTTCTTTTTTAAGTTTTTTTTTAATACCTTTATTTTTATTTATTTATTTTTATGTGGTGCTGAGGATCAAACCCAGGGCCTCGCACATGCTAGGTGAATACTCTACCACTGAACCACAACCCCAGCCCCCAAACCAGTTTTCATATAATCTAAAAACTTTACTATTCCTTCTAGCCACAGGACCTTTGCCCATGCTGCCCTTCTGTCTAAAACTCTCCCCCAAATTGCCCAGTCCAGCGCTTCCTAGGCCCAAATCACGTTCCTTGATTCCAGCTTCAGAGAATACTGTGTTCCACTCACTCTTTGTAATCAGGCACCCTTCTGAGTGATTATTTGATTACTGCAAACTCCAGGAAACCAGAGACAAGCTCTGGTTTTGCTCACATTTGAGTCCTCTGCACCTTACCTGGCATTCAGCTGGCACTCCATACAATTAGGCTGAAAAAAATGAATGAGTGTGCTCTGAAGCAGTTTTGTCCAGTAGAAATATAATGCAAATGACATGTAATTTTTTTTTAAAATTCTTTTTTCATAACCACATTACACAAGTAAAAAGAAACAGATGAACTTACTAATAAATTTAACCTAATAGATCTAAAGTATTGTTTTAACATATAATCAATATTTTAAAATCATTCATGAAATGCCATAGATATTTATTTTGTCCCACAAGTCATCAAAGTGCTCTGT